AAGGCTACAGATTTCGGGTTGTCAGACTTCATAAGGCCAGGTATGTTCAATATTACAATTTTGCCCTTATGCTTCCTATCTATGTCTTTTGATTATTTTTTAAATATCTTGAATGCTTCTGATAATATCGAATAAAAGTTATTGGTTGAGGGTATCACATGAAGATTGTGATGACTGATGAATTGAAATTAAAGTTACCTATTTACCCTTTTATCAACAGATGACATTGATTTAGTTCTTTCCATTGTGTTCTTAGTGCATTAAGTGAAACTATATTTGAATTCTTTTGTTGTGATTCTAAATTTCTAATGCTATTTTGTCTCATGTTTACATGAATTATTAATTAATGCAGGAAAGAAGTTTACAGATATTGTTGGTAGTGCTTATTATGTTGCTCCTGAAGTATTGAAGCGAAAATCAGGACCTGAATCTGATGTATGGAGTATAGGGGTAATTACGTACATTCTACTTTGTGGGCGTAGACCCTTTTGGGATAAAACAGAAGATGGCATTTTTAAAGAGGTATTTACTTGAAACATTACATTGGTATATGAAAAAAGATCATTTCTTTTTGTAACTTGAGGTGTTTGTTTCTTTCTTACTTAATGGAGACATGACTTAATCTAGTAAGCTATATATGGGTATTTCTTTTTCACTTAATGCACTAAGAACATGTTAATAGAGAAAGTCATGGAAATGAGGCTTTTCCCATTGAGTCCTAATCTTATGAAAAGTCACATCAATTATCTAGATGGAAAAAAGAAGGATCTTTACTCATTTACGAGATTATTTTTTTCCCAATTAAGTGCTATATACATAAGTTTTATTTCTTTTCTAGATTGAATGAGACAAAAGTCACAAATCGACCATTTTACCCTTACATTCCTACAAACATTTATCATAATATTTTGTCAATTTTAATGTGAGAGAAGTTGAGAGGAAAAAAAAAGGAAAATAGGAAGAGGGCTAGTATCTTAATTCATTTTTTTAGCTTAACACATTAAGTAAAAAAGAATCAACCATATATAGTTGTATAGAGTTAGTGCTTAACCCATTAAGCCCATTAAGTCAAAAAGAAACAACCCCTTGATGATTCATAATTTTATAATTTCAATTTGAATTGATAGGTATTAAGAAACAAACCCGATTTTCGGCGAAAACCATGGCCCACCATAAGCACAAGTGCAAGAGATTTTGTAAAAAAGTTGCTTGTTAAAGACCCTCGTGCAAGACTAACAGCTGCTCAAGCACTGTGTATGTTTCTTCTTCTTCTTTTTACTTCTTTTTTGTTATTGTCACTATCATTTTTGTAACACCCCAAGCCCTCATACCCCAAAGTTACACACTAGTCCAAAGATTATTGGGCTAGTGTATTTGTAACTTTGGACTTGGGGTGTTACACAGTACACTATCCCAAAGGTATTGGGCTAGTGTATATAATTTTGGGCTTAGGGTGTTACACAGTACACTAGCCCAAAGGTTATTGGGCTAGTGTATTTATAACTTTTGGGCTTGGGGTGTTACACAGTACACTAGCCCAGAGGGGTATTGGGCTAGTTTATATAAATTTGTGCTTGGGGTGTTACACAGTACACTAGCCCAAAGGTTATTGGGATGGTGTATTTATAACTTTGGGCTTGGGGTTTTACAGTATTTTAAGACAATATTTTATAATTTGTTTTTTTTTTACTTTTATAGCTCACCCATGGGTTCGAGAAGGTGGAAATGCTTCAGGGATTCCTCTTGACATTTCGGTTCTATCAAACATGCGTCAATTCGTGAGATACAGTCGCCTAAAACAATTTGCATTACGGGTAAAAATATATTTTGTTTTTTTGTTTTTCCTTTTCCTTTATTGGAAATTTGAAAGCAATTTTCAATGTTGTAATTGGATTGATTTTTGAAAGTATAAATGATCTAATAAGAAAAAAGTTGAAAGTAAAATCGTATAATTAGTTATATTTTTTAAAATACAATGTTGTAATAGAATGAAATGAAAGTATGTTGCTATTTCATGCATTTAGCATTATTGTAAAAAGTGTAAGATTGTGTGACACAGGCATTGGCTAGCACTCTTGATGAAGAGGAGCTATCGGATCTCAAAGATCAATTCCATGCAATCGATATAGACAAAAGTGGTGCGATTAGTCTTGAGGAAATGAGACAAGTGGGTTGACTTTTCAAGTTTTTTGGTCAATTGTTAAAGGAGCGAATAATTAATAATCACATTTTTTATTTTATAATATTATTTTATTGAATTTGATTTTAAAATTTTTGGTTATAGGCCCTTGCGAAAGACCTCCCATGGAAGATGAAAGAATCACGTGTTTTGGAGATTCTAGAAGCCGTACGTATTTTTGTACCGGCAACTAAATGAGAATGCCAATCTAGACCTGGTTCCATTAGACTGGCATTCTCAGAGAAAGTTCTCCGACTTTCTCTATTAATATGTTTTTTAAAAAAAAAACATATTAATGTTTTTTTGTTTTTGTGTTGCAGATTGATAGCAACACAGATGGGCTTGTGGATTTCACAGAGTTTGTAGCAGCCACTCTCCATGTTCATCAATTGGAGGAACATAACTCTGAAAAATGGCAACAATTATCACAAGCAGCTTTTGAAAAGTTTGATGTGGATAAAGATGGGTACATAACTCCAGAAGAACTCAAAATGGTATGCCATTTTTTATTTTTCATGTTTTACATTTACACACATCACAACTGTTCTTTATTGCACTTAGAAAACCCATTTTCTCATAAAAATTCTCTTGTTATACTTTAAAGGCTCAACATAACTACAACACTGTGTTTTCAGTAAAAAAATCTAATTAGAATATTATACTTTAAAATATCTACATAAACATATGAGTTAAACCTCAAATTTATTATTTTTTTTACCTGAAAAAGACCTTGTATTTTTTTCATTTTTTCCGATCCGGCCCTTTCTCATTTTTTTCCAAAAAAAAAGACTAAATGTGAGGGTTTTTTCGAGAAAAACTAAAAAAGTCAGGGTTTATTCGGAAGCAGTTAGAATCCCGAGGGTTATTTTTGAAAAAACAAAAATACAAAGTTAAAGACTTTTTCGGAAAAAATACAAGGTCTTTTTCAGGCAAAAAAAATAAAAAAAATAAAAAGCCGAGTGTTATTTTTGCTATAATTATTATTATTATTATTATTGTTGTGATGGGAAGAAAATAGAACTATGATGCTATAAATTATAATAAAACAAAAATGTTGGTATTCTGTCTACTTATGCCACGTGTTTATTTATATTTATTACAGTATACAGGATTACGAGGCTCAATAGATCCAATTCTAGAGGAAGCAGATATCGATAAAGATGGGAAAATTAGCTTGTCAGAGTTTCGTAGACTTTTAAGAACCGCAAGTTTGAGTTCAAATAATATCCCAAGCCCGGCCCCACATAGAGGCTTGCGTAAAATCTAGATTTTCAAACAACAAAAAAATAAATATATATATATATATAATATTTCACGTGTGAATTAATATTTTAATTTTCTTATCGAGTGAAGAAAATTACTAAATTAGCCTACTCTCAAAGTTACCGTTTTCATAGACCTTTGCTCTTTTGTTACCCATTTGAAGAATGTATATGAAGGGCATCGCGTGAAGGTTGTATGAGGATTATGTATGCAAGGATGTAGTTGATGGTAGTGTTAAGTTGTTCATCTATGTGTTTATAGTGTCTTTTGTATGTTGTGTTAGGTGCGTTTAGTAGAGGCCCTATGTGGTGTAAGTGAATATTTTTCTTTATAAGCGTTAGTATATCATGGTGTTTTATTTTGTGTTATTTGCATAGTGTGGCCATGTTTGATCATACATGAGTGGTAATGGTTTTTTATGCTTGTAGATATGTGTTGAGAGTTTAAGTGTAGAGTTTCAATGGGAATTTTGAGTTTTGGTTTGTACATAGATTGGATTTTTGAGTAATGCTTTTGTGGAAATCATCAAAATAAAGAATTTAATTTGACGTTTATAAATTGATCTCACATCAATTTATTATAAATTTGAAGTAACAAACATTCCATTTAATATATAATTGATGCAAATGAATAGTAAAAATGTAAAACACCAAATTTGGTATTTTACTATTCATCAACACCAAAATAGTGATTGATAGGAAATAGTGATTGAGTAATGCTTTTGTGGAAATCATCAAAATAAAGAATTTAATTTGACGTTTATAGATCTCATATTAATTTATTAATAAATTTAGAAGTAACAAACATTCCATTTAATATTTCATTGATGCAAATGAATAGTGTAAAACACCAAATTTAGTAAAGGGCTTTTGAAAAGTTTGATGTGGATTTCAAACATTTTTCCTCATTAAGTTAGTCTATTAAGTGTTGTTTGGATACATCATGTTTAAAAATAATATTTAAGAAAATGATGATTAACTTTTGAAAATGTAAAAGAAAATTTATAACTAGTTATGACTTAATAGAGAAAATCTCATTTCATTGAGTTTCACAATTGCGTTGTTTTTTCTGTATTAAGTAAAAGCAAAAAAGAAAACATTCATAAGTCATTCGTATACAGCTTATGAGATTAAGTCATAACCCCATTAAGTCTATAAGTCATTAGACTCCCCATTATTTGAAAAGCTATCTTGAAAGCCTTGAGAAGAAGTGTATCTACTAAACCCCATCTCTCCTCTTAGTTGTTTGCCTTTTTTTTTTCTCCTTACCCACAAATCAAATTTGTACTTTTAGTTTTTTTTATTAAGACACTATACTTTGAAACTGTTTACCAATACAAGTAAATTTCCATTTCTTGTATTGTGAACATATAATTCTTTCTTTTTCATTAGGGCTACATGTAAAAACAATAATAATAATGTATTTAATTTTATATGTTCATTAAAGCCTCCTACTTTTAATTCCTTTTATACACCATTGTACTTCGAATAACCTACCCAATTATTGCATTGTACTTTTAATTTTTTTCTTATTACAACATTTTATTTTGAAAAATCTACCCAATTAAAGCAATAAAGTAGGATACTATAATACACAAAAATAAACAAAAGTAGTTGTTTTTTCTTGCATTTAACTATTCCCAAAAGGCAAAAACAACTTTGACCCCGGGGTTTTAAGCTCTAAATCTGTCACCACATCACTAGAATTATCCCCTTTCTCATCATTACTATTACTACCCTTAAATTGTTTCGAAGACTTACTCCCACATTCTTGTTTGCTTGATCTTGACACATATACAGGAAGCGTTTGATTGTTAATATTGTAATTAGTTGGATTTGCATTTAAATTTGGATATGGCATGATGGAAGCGCCAGGTGGATTATGATTAGCATAAAAAGTGAACGGGTGGATTGGAAGTGGGCCCCCAGAGACAGGTAACGCAACCGGATATGAAAATGGTGGTGGCATAACAACTGAAGAAGGATCAATACCTCCCCATGGATACATAACTCCAACCCTTTGTTGATACTGTGTGTTGAGATTTTCTATATCGGATTTTAGCGATGATTTCTCCTCTCTCACTTCGTTTTTTTCCTGTGTCAACTGTTCTAAAAAAAATTAGACCAGACATGATATGACATGACAGAACAGGTTGTACTGTTGGACATGATTAGACCGGAGCTGAGATTGATGTGAATAAAACAAAAACAGGACAAGACATGACATGACATGACAGAAACTGAGAAAAGGTTGTATATGACTGGACTAGGCTGAGACTGATGTGAATAAGACAAAAACATGACAAGACATGACAGAAAAGGTTGTATATAATTGGACTGGAGCTGAGACCGATGTCAATACGACATAAATAAGACAAAACATGACATGACAAGACAGAAAAGGTTGAATATGATTGGACTGGGCTGACAAAAACACAGTACAACATGTGTTACCTCACATGATTCTTCAGATAATGCAGAGCATTCAGCTTTTAGTCTGTTGACTTCAGTTGTCAAATCCTTAAGGATTTGTATGGTGTCAATGATAATACTGGATTTGTCATTTTTAGGTCTGTCTGGATCTGCATATTGGATTAATGATTAATAAATGAGAATTTCAACAAACTATATCAGTCATGATTTGAAATGACTTAATGGAGAAAGAACAACTTAATAGATTTAAAGATTTGTTATGTTATGTTATTACCGAGTAGATGTCCCAACTCAATGAATTGTTCATTCAGTTTATCCCTCCTTAATTTTTCGCGATCAGCTTTCTGAACTTTTCTAGCATCACTTGTATCTTTCACTTCCACTTCAGCTGTCTCCCTGAATGGAATCCAAAACATGTTAGACAATGGCAGATGCAAAACATACTTCTATGAATATGCATTGTACATTAATAGAGGAAGGCAAAAGAGATTTAACATGTTTCGGATTCACCATCGCATCAAATTCGAACGTGAATCGGGAATTTTAGTCACATATTTGGAAGCATAACATTATGTAGAGATCAAGCGTCAGAAATGTAGATATTACCAGGAAGCAAAAGGGAGTATTGAATCATTATACTATTACTAACCACATCAGCGGACAGAAATTTCAAATTCATTCCGAAATTAGTGAAGTGGGTACGAAAAGGGAAATAAAAACAAAATCGAACAAACCTCTGTTCGGAATGGGAGTTAGAAATATGTTGATATTGTTGTTGATGCAATTCGAGCTTCGCGTTCCATTGATCCATTGATTTAGGCACTTAACGAGCAAAGTTGAGGAGTATGAGAAAGTAGTTGATGTTAGGGTTTGGTTCTTTTATGATTGATTTTGGGGGATTTGATTGAAAAACTGGGTTGAGTTGCAATGGGCATAGAGACGATGAAGACGAATGTTAGAGGGAAGTGTGTCATTAGGCAATAAGGCAAATAAGAGGCATTATTGTTATCAAGAAATCGACATGTACAATGTACCCTCCATGATTCCCTCCATCATATGATATATGATTCCATTGCCGTTGGTGCTTCCTTTTCTTCTTTATATACTTTTCTTAAATTCTTATCATAAACAATAATAAACAATAACTATAATATAAGGTGCATTTTAAGATTGCTTCAAGTAGTTTTTTAAAGAATGGATAATGATTTGACTTGGTAATAAATTATGTTTTGTCATTGTTTTTCTTATTATATGATTTAAGGGGTGTTTGAGATTATTTTTTAGACTTTAAAAGTACCTTTTTTATTTATAATGGTAGCAAAATAAATTTTGAAAAATATTTATGAATTAGCTTTTATGGTGACAAAAACCTATAAGTTAACAAGTTTAAAAATGTTTGGTTTAAAATCTTATTTTTAAGATATTATATTAAAAAAAATACTAAAAGGAGATTAAAAAACCAAATTTTATACGTTTTTCAAAATCTTATTTTGAAAGTTGGACAAATACCATAAAACCAAAAAATTTCACACGTAAATGAGAAAAGTTATATTATTTTTTTTGTTCGCTCTGGCCACAAATAGAACGTACAATTATCACTTTAGTCCATTTAATAAGTTTGATGTTTAACTCTATATCTTTTTTGCAAAATCAGTACTAAAATTCAGTTTAAAGTTTAAATTTGATCCTTGTAATTTGCAAAAAAATGCACGATATGTCTAAAACTCAGTTTTATGTTTTTTAACTTCTTTATTTTTATTATTTTTTTATTTTTTACTCGAAACTAAACTTGGTTTTATATTTTTTTTCTCATTTTTTAAAATATTTTTCGTATTTTGTTCGTTTTTTTAATGTTTTTCGTATTTTTTTTTTAGTTTTTTTCATATATATATATATATATATATATATATATATATATAACCAAGTTATGTCTTGACTAGAAAATAAAAATAAATGAAAATAAAGAAGTTAAATAACAAAAATCTATTTTGAAAAAATATTTTTGTCCTTTAAAGCTAATGGAAAATCTATTTTGAAGTTCTTTTTTGAAAAAAAAAATACTTTTAGTTTGTTAAACATTTATTTATTTATTTTTCAAAAAACCAATAAATTAATAAGTTGTTTTGAAAGATAATCTCAAACACCCTTACTATTACTATTAATCTTATATTTCTATTATTAATTTTATATTTATATAAGTGTTTAATATATATATATATATATATATATATATATATATATATATATATATATATATATATATATATATATTATTTTAGGTTTCCTTAGGAAGACTAAAGTTGATAAGGGTTTGACATAATTGATCCTTCTATTTTGCCTATTAACCATTTTGGAATTTCTTTTTTTCATTTTTTTTTTAACTAAAGTGTTTGACATAATTGGTCAATCTATTTTGCATATAACTATTTTGGAATTTCTTTTTTTCATTTTTATAAAACTACATAAAGTTCAATACATATCGATGGTATTGCTCGGTTTTTTCTTGAAATTGTAATTTCATTCCTTTTTATATTATTTGTATTGGGTCAGTCATTCCTTCTGGATCCTTGTGCACCGTCATTCTTTTCTGATCTATTTACTCATTCCACTGCTTTGAACCCACTCCACGTCCGTTCAGGTCCAGAGCTACTATCTACATGGTGTTTTTTCCTTTGAGTTTCTATTGCCCACACAGGAGATAACACACAACAATACGTTAGCGATTGAATCGTCTCTCTGCTGCCGCGATCAGCCTCTGCAACCGCTTCTATCTATCTATCAACATCACCTAATTATATTGCTTACGAATCAGATCCTAAGAACTTGAAGGGGGTGGTGTTCACTACGGTGTTCACATGCCATGTAGGCTGAAAATGTACTCAACCCGTTTGACTACTACGTAAGTTCGTTTACAGTTATTTTAAGACATAAAAATAACCTTATTTTCCTAATATTGGAATATTGATATAGTTGGTATGCGAATGTAGGTTTGGAAATCCACGTTAGGGAAGTTCACTTTAAAAAAATAAAAATTAAAAAATAATCAATTTAGAGTACTATTTTGTGTATTATTTTGCCGTTAAAAATGTAACATTTAAGGAATTGATAATTTTGGTCTCCTTTTTAAAAACTTGTTAATTTCAACCCCTTTAATTCTTTAGCCATTTTAACACTTTTGGTCCTTACAGTGAAACTTTTTACATTTTTTTATAAAAAACACCAAAAACAGCCCGAAACGAAGTCTGTGTTTTTTTTTGCTAGTTTTAACTAATAATAGCCAATCCAAATGGTTTTTATTGAATTTTCTAATGGATTAATGTATTATAAAGTAACGAATTATTTTTCTTGGTTACTAACATTTTTTATATGACTTTAGTTTAAGAAAATATTTTCTTTTGTTCAAAACACTGTTATATTTCTTACAAATTTTTTTTTCAAAATTTTTTAACTTGTCTTACCAGTTTTTTATAAATATTTTACAACTTTTAATTAACTTTTTTTTTTTTTAAATTATAAAACTCTACAATTTTCTTCGTGAACTTATTTCTTTTTTACGTTTCTTCTTACCTTTTCATGTTTAACTTACTTAGGTAAATTACAGTTCGATATAAAACTACTAATATAATGTTATTAAAAAATCATTTTTTACAAAACAAATTACATCGGTTAAAAAATTCATCACATATATTACATTTCAACTTTTGTTTTTTAATGAAAAGATTCCATAACATTTAATTTAATGATAAATTATGTAAAAGAAAGGTTGGTGACCAAATATGTTTTGGTGGATCTCGCAACTTTAATTTTTTTTTTTCTTGGGTCAATTGTAACATCTTCCAAATGCTTTTTTTATATGATATGGTTTAACATATTTAATGACATTATGTCATGTTTTCCACCGCATCATTTCTAAATGCTATTTTATATGATATGGTTTAACATATTTAACATATATAGCTATTTTATATGATATGGTTTAACATATTTAACATATATAAATATGATATGGTTTAACATATTTAATGATAAGATGGAAATCTTTGTTGTTTACGATGGTCATATATAATTCTTAATCCCCTACAGATTTAAAACACTAAAAAACATGAAAATGTTCTTAATCAATAGGAACTAGACGTCAACAGAAGACATGAGTGTGACTAAAGCTTCAATCGAAGTAGTTGTCGAAGTTGGTAGTAAACGTTGTGTGGGGGAAGAGATAATCGAAGTTTTTAGGTTACAAATGGTGAAGAGTTTTTTGTTTTTATTTTTTTTATTTTTAGATGCTAGATGGAAGAGAGGGGTGGTTGGAGTTTGGAACAAAATATAAGGGTTGATGGTGTCCGACATGGGGAGATGGGGGAGGCGCTTGCCGGTGGTGAGAAAAGTGGAATTTGAGGTTGTCAATGGTCCAGTGGATAATGAAAAATGGTTTGGTGAGTCAATGAGGTTAATGAGTGAGGGCATTTGAGTCATTAATGGTGTACCTGGGTCGGCCAATCTAACCTATACCTACCTAGGTACAACAAATCAGTAAGCGACAAAACACAGCTGTCCAAAATAATCAAACCATAAGACAATATCGATACATGATGGACAAAGTTTCCCAAAAAGACATATCCCAGAAATTACGCACAACTACAAAGATCCCAACAAAGTATCAATCAGTACGAACCACATATCTATCTCTACCCGGGCAATGCAAGCTACTGGGTAGAACCTTGTAGAAAAGAACATCGAGATGCTTATAAAAGCCTTTGAAGACGTATCGATAAGGTGCGACTTTACTCTCGAACTTGAGCAATTTTACCTATAAATTCAATCAACATATAGCTTAGGCATCAAAGAGAAATATCAAGGTTCATCCCTTAGTAGGACTTTCTAACCTAGCTTTTGTCTTCTTTTTGCAACATGCTTTCCCGAGTACACATTAGACGGAGCTGTCAACAACTAGCTATTACATACCTATAGGACCACATTGCTGGTGATATCCCTCTTCCAATGGTGACGCCAAACGTCAAGAAGGTGGTAATAAAAGACCGTTGTCGATGACATAAAAGAATAAAGAGATAGAGATCCTTCGGGTTTGACATAAAGAAAAAGAAATCAAGATAGGGATAATTGTGATGTGGGACCTTCAAATTATTGTCGATTTTTTAATAAATTAATAATATAAATAATTATGTAATAAATAAAATTATTAAAAAAATATATTAATGATAAAATAATCTTTTTAAGGACAACAAAGACCAACCAACCATGTAAAAAAATAAACAACAAAAATGATCCAACTTAAAAAAAAAAAAAGACAAAACTTCAAAAATAGTCCCTGTGGTTTTCGAAAATATCAAGTTTAGTTTCTAAGTTCAAAAAACCTCACAGATGGTCGCTGTGATTTCAAAACTTTTAACATTTGGTCATTTTCGCTAACTCCGTTAGCTTTTGACCGTTAAGTGAAGGACAATTCTGTCATTTCACTTCCATAAGGACCATTTATGAAGTTTTAACTTATTTTTTTAAAAAAAAAAAGAAAAAAAATATAATTATTTAATATTAAAGGTTCCCACCTCTCTCTCTCTCTCTCTCTCTGTCTCTCTCCAACACAAATAAGGGGAAAGGACTTTTTTCGCTAACTCAGATCGAAGAAGACGAACAGGCAGTAGAAAAATGGTCTGGTGATGATTGATCGAATCGCAAGGAGGGGCGGAGAGATCAATCTCCTACGACCCTCTAAGGGTTTAATTTACCTCCAGAGAGATCGATCAAAAACACACCCCACCTCCGCTGTAACGACCAAAAATTTCAACAAAATTTAAACTTTTCAAAAACATCCCAATTCATTAAGTTATTACAAAAAGGTTTTCAATACATTTATTATCAGAGTATTCCCAGGTCCATATCATAAAACATAAACACGAGGAGCGGTATGATCACGCCTTTGCCTTGCCACGGTCTCCTGAAGAACCTGAAAAACATTAAACCACAACTGTAAGCCCGAAAGCTTAGTGAGATACCCCCAAAATACCAACCACATATACCGTACACATAACATGCTATATCATAACGAATCACAGAACAACCATGCATATCGGGTCTGCTGTGTGACTGGTCCGCCGCACCGGCCAACAGTCCACCTGGTCCACCCTCCACAACTAGCCATATACATCGAGTCTGCAGGGTGGTTGG